GCATTATCAGTTTCTTAACTTAATTTTGGCCGGATATTTGTATCTTCAACTGCGGAAGAAGAAACGAGTACAAACCGTTGGTGTGAGAGATATTTTTCGGAGAAGAACCCAGTTTGGTGATGGACATAATTTACTTGAAGAACTCCGCGTACAGTTGATCGAAAGGCCGACAAGAAACGCGACAATTCATGAAGTTTTGATTGAATTTTCGGACTTATTACACGTCAACGTCGTTTTGTTTTATACTTAACAAGTGCTAAAAGAATTAAACAATATTATTTTCAGTTTTTTGAACTTTTTTCTTTACAGATAGTGAAATCCTCGAAAAATGTATGTTTCCGGTACAATTTCCCGTAAAAAAAACCTATGTTAAAAATGCCAACTTTGAGATTCAATATCTCAAAAACTAGACGTCAGATCTTCTCAAAATTGTAAATTTAAGTGTATTTAGGTTTTCTTTATAACATATTTTTAATTCAGATTTTTTTCTTTGACATGCTCTGATGGGCCAACCACCTTAGGCCGGCGCGCCGCGGCGAAGCGGCGCGCGTTTAAGCGGACAAGCCGGCAAGTGAAATACGTCAATAATTGAAGCGCCGCGCCGTACCGTCGTTTTCGACGACGAGACGAGAACGCGAAGAACGCGATCGAATTGTGATTCTAGACGAGTACCAGGAGGAAAACAAGTACCAGGAGGACGACGACGACGACGACGAAGACGAGGACTAGTTCAAGAGCCGGCTGCACAAAACCCTCCCTCATCAAACATACGGCTGAATTTTATTCGAATCGATAGCTTTTTTAGTGGTTAACCCTGTGCCGGGTTTTATATGCCCTGAAACTTGACCGAAGTGTTAAAAATGGGGCCACTTCCGGTATGATTTTTTGAGATAAAACCTTCTTAAAGAACATACGGCTAAAACGTGTGCCAATCGATTCAGGATGTCAAGCACTTTGATAAAAAAATATGCTGCCACCCCCCACCTTGACAGGAACCAGCGATGGCAGCATTGTTTTTTTTTATGTTCAGGAATGTTCGACCTACATTTCAAAAAAAAAATCGTATGTTCTGTGAGGGAGGCACGGTACGAAAATATGTCACGTTTAAGGGTTACTGCCATGGTTCCTGTCAAGGTGGGGGGTGGCAGCATACTTTTTTATCAAAGTGCTTGACATCCTGAATTGATTGGCACAAGTTTCAGCCGTATGTTCTTTAAGGGGGTTTCATCTCAAAAAATCATACCAAAAATGGCCCTTTTTTAACACTTTGGTCAAGTTTCAAGGGATATAAAACTCGGCACAGGGTTAACCACTAAAAGAGCTATCGATTCGAATAAAATTCAGCCGTATGTTCGATGAGGGAGGGTTTTGTGCAGCCGGCTCTCCTACTAGACGAGGACGAGGGCGAGGGCAAGGAGGAGGAGGAAGAGAAGAAAAGAAAAGATCATGACGGTAGCGTCGGTGGTACCGTTCGCCGAATTCCGGTGTCCACAGCGACGAGGAATTATATACCGGAAGCGTCCGTGCGCGCGCACGTACGGCCGCGTGGGCGAACGCGGGCTATCAGCGTACCTGCCGCGCTCATAGTAAAGAGGGTGAGACGGGGTACGCGGCCGAGAATCAGCTCCCGAGTTACAGCTCCAGATCAGTTTGCGAGAGAATCAGAGGACGCGCGATCGCCCGCGCGAACAAGTAACTGTACTAAGTTAACGCCGCTAAGCTAATATGTGTAAGCCAAACATATGTGTGTCAGTGCCTGTGTACGCGCGTGTGTGAGTGTGTACGTAAGGACTCATGGTTTCGCTTTTAACAGATAGTCATATAGCGCTCTCTTGAAAGCACCCAGCGTCTCAGAATTACGTATATTACACGGAAGACTATTCCAAAGTTTGGCCGAGTGATATCTAAATGACCTTTTATAGAATTCAGTTCGACATAAAGGCAAAGATAAGGTTTCGCTTTGTGCCCTAGTATCTCGCTGAGTCCTGTTACATCTAAATTCAAATCTGCTGTACAAGACGCTAAGGACTAGGGAGAGAGAGAGAGAGAGAGAGAGAGAGAGAGAGAGAGAAAGAAACAAAGAGAGAAAGAAAGAGAGAAAGGGAGAGAACAAGAGATAATTCGTCAGACATGAACGTTACTCTGACGGTGGAGTTACCCGGCAATGACAGCTACAACGTCTCTACCAACGGTCTCGACTGTGACCGTCAGCCTATCCCATATACGGGATGGGAGGGTACATTGATAGTAGTGATCGCCACCTTCCTCTGTCTCATCACGGCTATAGGCAACATGATTTGCTTATTAGCAATCATGATTGACAAGAAACTGCAGAAGTTCTCCAATTATTTCGTCTTCAGCCTAGCGATAGCCGACTTCGCGGTCGGCCTAATCTCCATGCCCGTCTTTACGCTGTACAAGGTGCTCGGTTATTGGCCACTCGGGCCGCGGGTGTGCGACACGTGGCTATCGCTCGATTATCTGCTAAGCAACGCATCGGTCCTCAATATACTTATAATAAGTATGGACCGATACGTCTCCGTCACGCGCCCGTTCGCTTATCAGGCCAATAGAACCACAACAAAAGCAGCCATCATGATCGGTGAGTACCTAATTATTGGAGAAGTCAGGGAATTCTCGGAGAACTTTGTCGAGACTCGAGAAACTTTGACTTTCGTCGAAATTGTCTCTTTGAAGATTTTGTTTTTTATTTGTGATTTAAAACTGCTCCAATTCTCTCTTACAAAGTTCAAATAAATATCCTGATAAAATAATTTATTAATTAAAGTAATTTAAATCGACCGTGACTGGCAATATATAACGTCTT